GACTGCTCTGCAAGTATATACACTCTTTCAGATATACAAAGAGAAAAGATGAATTTTAAAATATTCAACATATCTCTGATTTAGATATCTTGCTATTCATATATAACTAATGCGCAAATAACTCACTCGGATTTTGTCAACTTTTATGTAATATCTATCAGTTGCATGTTAATTCATTTTCTAATTGATTTTTTTCTATTAAAAATATATGATACTAACGAACATTAATTTTCTTTAGTGATCAGTTATTCTCGATTATTTACTGTTGTCTTTCATACTTGTTAGAGTTTAGCCAAATTTATTTTTCTTTCATTTTCGAAATAGTGAAAGTTTTCCCACTGATATATCAAAGACATCGGTGCATTTCTTCATAAAGTACAAGATGTAACTTTACAGATTATTCCTCTTTTTTTTTCAAAACAATAACTAACAAATTTTTAATTAAATAGTGTTGCGTTCACACAAGATATTTCTTTTCTAGTAATGTTAGATTTTAAAGAATTTCTCTATACTGAAAAACTAAGAAGATGTATTCTTACGAACAGTTTTCTAGTGAAAAGTCCAATCTATATATACTAGAGATACACACTATCTAATAGAAAACTTAAAATACCCAAACTGTTGCATGAGAACACAAGAGTCGAAGTGCAAGTTGATGGAGACTTTAGCATCAGAGTATTCAAATGAAAACTGGCGTCAAATATGGTTGTCTCATCTCTTCGATTTTGTTCTGCATATACATTGATTATGCTATGAGACGAATTCTTGAACAAATAGAAGTTGAATGTGTCACATTGACGTATCGCCTGGGAATTTCTACTACACAGGTAGTGATAATAGCAACATTGTGAATCTGCTGACTCTTGTGTATCCAGACGATATAGTTATTATGTGTCAAAATGCAACAGATCTAAAACAATTCATACAAGCATTCAAACGAATCACTCAAGATTTGAGTCCAAGTATGAATATCAAAAAGATATGCATTATGTACTTGAGGTAATTTGAAAGCGCAGCATGTATGATCAAAGGCAAAAAAGAGATTTCTGGTGATTCGTTCAACATCATCATATGCAGTCAGAAAATAGAAGAGGTAGACGATTTTAACTACCTTGGATGACACATATCGAGAGATTAAACACATCGTAAAGAGATCGAAATTCGTGTAGGTAAAGCATTCAGTATATGCAATAAGCTTCGACGTATTGTGTGGTGTTGTAAATACATATCGATTTAAGCGGAAATCAAAATTTTCAGAGCATGCATGCTACACTCGAAATTTTTGACATTAGTGAAGTATGGCGCCTGACAAATACTGAGGAGCAGCACGTGAACACATTCTATATGAAATATCTGAGGACATTAAGTAGTATTTCTCTCGATGATCGAATGAGAAATGATTTGGTTTTCGAGTTAACTGTTCAGCTATCTTTGAAAAATATTTTGAGAAGGAATAGATTTCATTGGTTTAGCCATATTAATCGAATAGATAAAGATCAAGATTCTCCAATACTATCGAGAAAAGATTCTTTTAGCTTCATTCAAAGCATCTAAGAGGCCACGGCATGGTGTTAAATTAGGATAGCAAGATAAACTCTCGAAATATTTCACTGTAATTAAGGCCAAAAAAGTGAAGACATGAAGTCCAGGATAAAGATGAGTGGCGTCAAACAATTAATCATAATGTTAAACATGCCATGATGTAACTCGATATGACACATATCTTAAGAGAATATAAAGAAAGAGCAGCCAAACATCAGACTGAGGAAGAATTACCACAGCTGTCTAAGCAAAATGGAATTATGATTTCTCCATTTCTCTCTTCGACAACAGTCAACGATGTTACATATGTTCTGTGTGAAAGGATCTGTAAAAACTGACGCGACTTAAGCGTACGTTAACGTACTTGCTTAAATAAAACAGTCACATATATGCGTGGTGATGGCATACAAAAAGTAGCTCAACGTAATGTATGAACAACACGACATCAGATATATAGAGCATGAAAAGTAAATATAATTGAACTGATATCGAAGAACAATAAAAATGAAAATATATGCTCAAACGAAACTTGTAGTAGATAATTGAAGACACAGAATGCTACAGTAAATATACAAGAATGTGCTAAATCGTAGCTAGAGAAACAAGGTATTGTAATTTAGTGAGTACAGTCTATGTATGCTTAGCTATGAAGTACGATGACGGTTGCTGAAATCATATCTACTTATGATCTGGAGGTAACAGTTTAATGAATACCGCAGTAACTCATTTACAAATAGTAGTGACCCGATAAGCAAGATCTAGTAGCAAATATTTTATTTTATGTGTATGTCCTTGTATAGTTCTATATGTGTGTTTAATGTAGTTATTGTGTTTGTTGTCTAGGCCTCTGTTTTTTTTTGTATAACTCTTTGTTTTTGTTTTCGTGCATTTCTCTGCTGTTATCTTCGATAAGTGTGTTTGTTCTTCGCCTAAACCGGGTTACCAGTATTGACATTTTTTTTTCTTCTCTTCATTTTTTGTTGCAATGGCGTATAGTGATATACTCCGTTGTAAACATCATCTAACAATCTATTTGAAGAAAAAAAATGAAAGAGACAATATTCTAAAACCTCATGTTGCATAATGACTGAGGTCAAAATTTTGAATTATAGATACAAGTCAGCTTGATTTGTATAATGACTGTGTACCATTTTGGTGTTAATCAATTGAATGTGTAGCATATTTAAAGTAGTTTTACATACTCAGTGGCAATATCAGAATGTTCTCTCTATTCTTACGGTACAGACGTTGAAATTTGGGATACCTGACATATGAAAGATTTATTTGATTTGTCCTTGTATGAAATACTCATGTAAAAAAAGTGATGCGAATAATCAATTCTAAATCAATTCTAATCAATAATAAAACATACAAAACTGGATTAAAATTCTACTGCTTTTAATCATATGAAATTGATTAAAAATGATTTTGTGCACAATTTTAAAGCGGTTTTAATCAAAAATAACCAGAATAATCAATGAAATTTCAATATTTTTGGCTATTTTTTATTATAATCGATTTACAACCGATTAAATGTGTGTGATTTTAATCGATTCAAAATTGATTTTTTTACGATTTTCATAAAATCTTTTACAGGAGTAGTTTTAAAAAAATTATTAGTATTGCTTGTTATCAAGCATGTACTAGTTAACCACTAGTGATACCATATTTTCAACCATGTTGTATAAGTCGATGGAAGAAGGATACCTTTGGATTGATCTGATAACTTTCCAATTGTGAAATTTCTTCATTCGTCAAACGCCATCCTAAAGCACCACTATTTTGTTCAGCTTGCTTGCCATCACGAGCACCACCAAGAGGAATAACGCCTAAAAAAATAATATAAATAAGATATCAATATAGTAAAAATTCTGTTGTTTGAATCAAATATTTTTTTTACTTTAGAATATTAAGGCAAAACATTAATAAATTGTCTCAAATACTCGAGTTATCAGTTCTAAAGACACTTCTTCTGTAAAACAAACATCAAGAAGCTCGTTCACCTTTGTTGCTCTGAGAGATATAGCTATGAGAATATCAGAAGATAGTGTGAACAAATGTTGTTCGATCGATTTAGTGTTTTATCGATCGTATCGAATAACTTTCTCATAAGATAGCATACAGTTTATATTTCTTTTGAATTCTATTTATTCAATGAGTAACTTAAAACGAAGTAAAATACTCAGACGAGTGCTTTAGCATCGAAAAAGGGTGCCTTAGTGATTAAACACGATGACCAAACTTATACTTCTTAGCATAGTCTCCAACTTCAATTATTATGATATTGATCTTGACATGAATTCAAACCTACTGAGATTAACATAAACTTTGTTCGAATTGAGTCTAAAAGTGCTCATCAGAGGATAATGTCATGAGCTACTGACCAACTGTATTGCAGTTCAACAAAAGCAAACTAATGCGTACATGAGACTTTTTTTTAAGACTATTAAGACTCTAATACGAATCATTAGTTTCTTATATAATCTTAGGCACATTTTAAGTGTTCTTTTCATGTTTATAACTTCTCTCTGACTGTGACATAAGATTCATATAATCTAGAGACTCAAAGACTATTTTCTTTTCGCAAGATATAGCTTATACTTATTCTATAAAAATAGCAGCTTTATATAATTACTACAGAGAAAAAGGAATATTGCCATTTGTAATAGTAATCTTTTACTATTCATCAAACAATAAGTTATACAATACCTTTGCAAATAACGTAATTCAAAGCAACAGAAGAGACACTAACATTATGTTTTCCTGCAATGCAGTGCATGGATTCCAATAACGGCTCCAATTCATCCATATTGACATGGGAGAAGCCACGACTAGCAGGAAATGAATTGGCTTTCGAATATTTACCGGTTAGACGACCCATCGCCTAACCATGAACAAAAAAAGCATATAATCGTATAGCACAGTTGTCTTAACTATTTGAAGCGACTTTCATGGACTTACAAGTGGAGAATATCCCAAAACAGCAATACCTCGTTTATGACATTCTCTAATAAGTCCTGATGTCTCTGGTGTACGTCGAAGAAGTGAAAATTCAACTTGATTCGATGCAAGTTGAATATCATGTTTTTGTAAACAATCATACATTCTAATTGTCTCAGTTATAGAATAGTTTGAAACACCGACAGTCTTACTAAGACCAAGTTTGACTGCTTCAGCTAATGCATTGGCAATAACATTAATAGGACGAAGATGAACGGGACCATGAATTTGATAGAGATCGACACAGTCCACCTGTAACGAGAACCATATTCAATTTAGGTTATTTGTTGCATTTTTGTAAATAATTTCATTTACATCAAAGTGATGAGTTAGATTCCTTCAATAATATTTCCGCTCCTTAAAACTATTCACTCTGCTTCATGATTTCGGAAAAAATGTTTGTGCAAAACGAAGTGAAAGAATAATCAATAATTACATGAGTATTATTTATCGTAATTCGCACTTTTGATAGTAGGACGTTAACTAACTTATGCATATTTTTTTTTATCTCATAATTATTGTTATCAGAAATTTGAGTATATATCAGAGTGAATATTTTAAAACAATATATCTTCGATCTATAAGTACTATTCAATTGTTGGATCTCTTTTTTTTTTATCAGATGAATATACTCTAGATGACAAACGCTCGTTTTTCGTTTTAATAGCGAAAGTACTAAAAAAGAAGTTACATTAATTATTTTTACATATTACAAGTCAGGTATCGAAAAATGAGTTTCCGACAATTCTCAACAATTTATCATGACTAAACATTAAATTTTAAAATTGGAAATATTTTAAGTGTTTTTTTTTCGACAAATATTATAAAATTGTTATTATCGCAGAAAATTTTACATTTGATTTATATCTTACTTCATCGAACCATTTCATAAAAACCAAAAGAATTTTCAATTATCTGATACCTTCAATCTATCCAGACTTGCTCGAAGTGCATTAATCAATGAACTTGGATAAGATAATTTGTAAGGAAAAGGAAGAAATTTTGTAGCAACAACTATATCTTTAGTACCAACAATTGGATGATCTGCTTTGTATCGAGCAATGCAACGTTCACTAAAAAGTAATAACTTCCCTATTAATCTTTGTAATCTGTTTCTGTTCACCTTTCACCAAATCCATAGATTTCAGCAGTATCAAAACTATTGATTCCTTTTGACAAAGACATATCAAAAGCTTCTTTAGCTTTTACATTTAGTTCTTCGTTCCAACCCCATAGTTTTTTGTCTCCCCATGCCCAAGTACCAACAACTATAGTATGAGTTCAAGATATAAAATATTGTGATTGAATAGTTTGTTTCTTACTAAGAGGAGAAACTAAGATACGATCTGCAAGCTTGATCTTTGTTTGCGCAGTTGGAATAGCATCATTTGGAATGTAAACATTGTAACAAAACCTAGATGCCAAGATCGTGGTGTTCTTTGACAAAATACGATGTCGAAAGTGCCTTGTGATGAGAGTAAAGTTCTGGACAAATGAAAAACCTAATTTCATGATCATTCAGCTTATTTTCACCCGTGTGCAATGCATGATATAGATAAATAAATGAAATCTCCAGTAGTTATGCGGTGCTGATAGACGGCGCTGTTTTCAACTATAGTTTTTTCAAGCCCCAAGTAAATTGTTGATATCAGTTATTGTAAATTGCGGATTGAAAACAGCATGAATCATTGGGGCGCTTTAATCGATCGATTGAAAAGGTTTTACATAATGAAGATTAGTTTAAACTTGATCAGTCTGCATGTATATTCGAATCATCTCAATAATATTCAGTGAACGGCACCTGGAACTAGACGTTTATTCATTTTGTTCATTTATTTTGCTTTTCTTTTACAATATGACTTTCGACTTGTATACCGATATACAGTGTCAACGCTAGGTCCACCACTCGTGTAAGTCAATATAACCTTCTAGAGATACCGTGGAAGCGAAAGTTTTGCACGAAATACAATATAAGAAAGTTAAGACCAATTGGGATTATATCAAAGAAAATTTTTAAGAAAACGTAATAGAAATTCTTACATGTAAAATTACAAGCAAGTATGGGCCGAGGTCACCAAGACTACGGGAAAGCGATCCTTGTTTTCGAGGATTGGTGAGCAAAACAAAAGAAGAAAATCATTCAGTTTTGCTAGGGAAAAGCAAAAATTTTCCTAGATTGAAGGGAAAAGGAAGTCATTCTTCGACTTGCCTGCTCGGGACACTTCTGAATACAAGAGTGTCCAATACTATTAATTGACAAAGTTTTACGAATTTTATTCTGTTCTAAAGTAAATTTCTTCATGTTGAACATGGCTTCCGATAACTTTTCGGAGCGGCAAAGACTGGAAATTTGACAGACAGTCGCAGGCAGCCTCTTCAGTAGAAATTGGCTGAGAAAAAGCGTTCTTAAAACTAGACAGACATTTTTCAATTAATAATATAAAGTTTCTATAAGCACGAACTAAAAAATAATGGAGGCTCGTTGCTTCCAATTGCTTCTTGATGGAAACCTATGATTTTGAACAGTTCGATTAGTATTGCTTCTGATATTAATTTTAATTTTTATAAGTATTTTCCTTCATAAAGTTTTTATGACAGACAATATAGATATAAGAAAGTAGAAATTTTATGCCTGAAAAAAAATTTGATAATTTGTTGCGTGTAAGACTCACATGACAAGATCCAAAGATACAAATGAAATCAACAAATTTTCAATCGTTTTATTAAACTATATTATACTAGACTAGTTAATATAAAATTTTATAATTTAATTATATTGAATATTTGCAACTATAGCAGTTTTCAAATGTCATTAAATATCGTACAAACCAACAAGTCAAGTGAAACTCACTGAATGATACGACATCTATATTTTAGATGGCTCTCATTATTCATTCAGTTTTATTATGTAGGTCCAATCAGACATGGATCTAAAATGTTGTCGTCATTCTTGCCCAGTGTTTCCAATATTAAGTACCTCAAGTGAAACTAAAGTACCAAAGTTATTTACGATTTTGAAAAAGTACTATCTCTTTCACTGTACTAGAAAAAGCTACACTCTTGCTATTCTGTCAATGAGAAAAGACACATTGCTTAGTTTTTACGCCATTATTGAAAAGTTGCTTGTTTTCCTCTTATTGATATATTCTAATTCCAGATAAATCTACGGAGTATTTTTTCTTTTATTGTTATCAAGTTTATCATTGAAATTTTTCTTTTTCTTGTTTTACATTTCCTATGTAGTCTCTTATTATACATATTTTCTTCATTTATTTTTTTTTTCGGATGTATTAAAATAGGAATTTTAATTCAATCAACTTCATGTTCTTTCGACAAATGTATTAACATACACAAAGAAGAAGAACAATAATAATTACTCTCATTGTATCGTTTTTGTTTAATAATTCGATATATTTATGTATGATAGTAAAAATTAATTCACAGAAGTATTTCTTAAATTTAGCCAGATGAATATATATGCACATTTTTATCATTTTCTATATTTTATTTTTCCATATTATTTTTCACACAGGAATATATTTTTCATAAAAAGATGCAAGTAGTAATAACTTTGTTTTTCTTTTCGATTAATCAGTTGTTTGCTATTGTATAGGATATCCCTAAATTATAGGACCCCTTCTCCCCATACATTCATACAATAATATTTATTTCATTAGGAAAAGAGGAATAGACAAAGACAATCGACACTAGCAATAGTTAGTAGACAACCATACTCACATAAATAGGTTATGAATAGTTTAGTAATATAAACTTTTCCTCATGAAATAAATATTATTGTATGAATGTATTGGAGGGAGAGAGGTCCTATAATTTTGGAGTACCCTATATTTTGAGGTAATTTGTTATTTAGAACTAATTACAAACAGATGCTTTGTCAATAGAAACAGGATATCTATTTTTATTTTGTTTCAGATTTCTATTGGAAATCCTGTCCTTAACATCTAGAATCGTTCTTTTTGTTCTACTTTAAGAACCATGGGTTTTGATGCAATCTATGAACTTTTACAAAATAATCTTCTCGAATGTGGTTTTGAAGTTTATCCTTTTCTAGTAAATAATTTCGCGCCTATTAGTTATAGTTTATCGAAGAAAAATATCTCTTTAGATTTCATGGTATAATTCTATTGTTGATCCATTATTTTGTCTATCAACATATGATAATGATACAGTTGCTTTTCTTATTGTTAGTACACCAAGTATGTTTGAAAAAATATTTTTACCTTATGCACTCGACAGAAACAAAGATCTTACTCGTGATCCAATTGATTGTTGTGTCAAAGAAAAAATTCAATCTGCGATTGAAGTATTGAGGTTTTTTTTCTTGATAGATATTCAAGAAAAAGATTCAATGGTGTTTGTATAATAGAATATTCCTGATCATGAAATCGATGTTCTTTTTGACTATGATCTATGGCCAACACGACGACCAAAAATAGTTATGCAAACAGTTGGTCATATATCAGGTGCAGCTCATTTTTATAGTCGTCAACAGCTCAAAAATGATCCATTTCCTAAAGATCGAGTAAATCATTGGTTTTTTTTCATTGGATTTTTCCTCTTAAAAATGTTTTTCTTTTATATAGAATATGATGGGCGTATGTCTTCATCCAAAATATGGTGGTTGGTTTGCATTAAGATCAGTTCTTATTTTTAAAACACTTAAATATCCATTATTACCTCGTATTGCACCTATTGATTGTTTAAATGGTGATGAATCATTAATAATTGATGTTTTAAAACGTTTCAATTATTGTTGGGAAGATAATACATATCGAAATGTAATACCAGTCATTGAAACATATTCATCCTTACAACAATCATATTTTCAAACACAACCTAAAGATCGATTAGTTTGGCTTGAAAATTTACGTCAAAATTATGATGAAAAAATTTAATTTTTTTATAATTATTGTAGTGATCTGTTATTAATTTTGTTGATTAAGTCTTTTTTTGTTTCTTTCAACTGGTCTAATGAGATCTTTTTGTTTAAACTTTCCGCTTATTTTTCAGATGCTTAATTTATTCATGTGGAAGACTTATAATGGCCAGTGAAGTAAACACTGAAAATGATGCGGCAGGTAAAACAAAAGAGATGAATATTATTTATGGGATTATTTTAACAAATTTTCCATTTAGATGTTGATATTTGCCGCGTATGCCGATGTGAAGCTACAACTGATCGACCACTCTTCTATCCATGTTTATGTCATGGAAGTATTCGATTCGTTCATGACGATTGGTAAGATTTCTTCGATATATATATATATATATACAAACATGTACAAAATTAATAATAATATATTCGATTTTTTTTTGAATAGTTTAATTCAATGGTTAAAAATCTCACGAAAAGAAGAATGTGAATTATGTGGAACAAAATTTCGATTTACACCTATTTATCATCCATCAATGCCACCTGGTCGTTTACCATTGAAAGATTTAATAAATGGTTTATTGCGTACTTTTTTTAAAGCATTAAGATATTGGCTTCATTATCTTATTGTTGCTTTTTGTTGGCTTGGTGTTGTACCTATAACAGCTAGTCGTATATATCGATGTCTTTTTGCTGGATCAATATCATCAATTCTTACATTACCATATGATATTGTTTCTACAGATCATTTATTTACTGATGTACTTCAAGGTGGTTTAGTCGTTTTTTGTTCACTTGGTGCTTTTATTTGTTTACTTTGGTTACGAGAACAAATTCTTACTGGTGGTGGACCAGCTTGGCTTCAACCAGCTGAACCTGAACCTGTACGACAACTGCCAGTAGCACCACAAATTAATGTTATTCCACCAGTAGCACCAATCGACGAGTTACTCCTTGCTCCTCTTCCTCTTCTTCCACCTCAACCTCTTGCTCCTGTTAATGTTGAACAACCATTAGCTCGTAAGTTATCTTGTTTGGATGCATCATTGTGACTTTTTTTTTTTTTGAAAAATAGACAACGAACCTGAACATGACGAAATTGCTTTCGTCGATGCTGTTGATGATGAAGATGGTGACGATGAGGATGACGATGCTGAAGAAGAACAAGCAAATTTAATTGCTCAACCAGCTGGTGCTGCTGGAAATGCACAAAATCAAGAAAATAATCATAATTGGATTGATTGGGATCGAGCAGCTGATGATTTAACATGGGAACGATTATTAGGTCTTGATGGTTCATTACAATTTCTTGAACATGTATTTTGGGTTGTGACACTTAATACATTATTTATTCTTATATTTGCTTATGCACCTTTTCATTTCGGTAAAATAATAACATCAAGTAAAACCTTTCGACGAAGTGTTCTCAATTCACGTCTTGAAACACCGATTAATACTTTGATAACTTATGGTAAAAATTATTCTTATTTTTTGTTTTGTTCAAAAAAAAAATTCTTTTTTATTTCGCTTATTTAATTTCAGGTTGTGTTAATGCTTTGATTGGTTATATTTTCATATCATTTTTTCTTTTAATAACATTTACTATATTAAGTTTTGTCAATTATTTAACACGTATACGTCGTCTTGTTGGTCTTGCATATATTGTATTAAAAGTAGCATTACTTGTTATATTAGAAATTCTTCTTTTTCCATTTGTATGTGGAATATGGCTTGATGTATGTTCATTAAGAATATTAAATGAACGTACAATAACACTTAATGATCGTTTAATACAATTTCAAATGAGTCCAGGAACAAGTACATTTTTACATTGGTTATGTGGAATGGTATTTGTTTTTTATTTTGCAACATTTATATTTCTTTTACGTGAAGTTTTACGACCAGGTGCATTATGGTTTTTAAAATCTATAAATGATATTGATTTTAATCCAATACAAGAAATGATTCAATTACCACTTGTATTACATGTAAAACGTTTTGTAACATCAATAATTATATTTGGTTGTGTTATTATTTTAATGTTTTATGTACCTGGTGAATTACTTATACGTTTTATACCAAAATTTCTACCATTTAATGTTAAAGGAAGTCTTGAAACAGTTGTAAGTGAATTAATGATTGAATTTATTTTATTACAAGGTATATTACCAACATTACTTGAACAAGGACATACACGTACTATGCTCAAATATTTGGTATATAAAAAAAACAAATAAAAGTATTTTTGTGTTATTTTTATGTTTTGTATTTTTATAGCTTCAATTATGGGTTGAATTAGCGTCATGGATATTAGGTTTACGTTCATTTCTTCTTGGTGATAGTCCATCATTGACGATAACAAATACTCCACAAGTTGATCAAAATGATAATGTTTTACCAATGCCAATAGTTGCTGTTCCTGATCAAGTTCAAAATATTCAAGCTGAACAAGCACCACCTGCACAAATAATTCCACCACCACCACCACAACCATCATCATCATCTCAACCATTTATGGAACCATCGTTTTTTCGTTTTCGTTTATTTGGTCTTTGTTTATTTACATGTTTATCATTAGCATTCCTTTCAGTACTTGGTTTAACTATACCAGCAACGATAGGTCGCTATCTTCTTGGTCTTATAACAGGTTCAGCAAGATTACATGAATTATATACAATACTTACTGGTTTATATATTCTTTGGCTTATAACACGTGTTATATTTTTCATTCGATCACTTTTACCATTTGATATTAATAATATATTAACGCGTTTAAAATCATATAGTATTTTATGCATACGTGTTATACTTTGTACGTTTTGTGTTATTGGTTATGTTCCATTTATGATTGGACTTGCTAGTGAGTTAGGTAAACTAATTTTTATTTTATTAATTGACAAAAAAAAAGTAAATAATAATTTTCTTTTAGTTTTAATTATACCATTGAGTACATCCATTGAACAAACAGCTGTACTTACACCATTACGTGTTTGGATTATTGGTTTACTCAATACAAAAATTGCCATAGGTAAAAATTTATTAGTGTAATTCTTGTAGAGATTATATGTGAGAAATGATAGAACTACTTATATTGTAAACAAGAGCTTTATATTATTATATATCTTTGCTTCTATGTATTACTTTGTTCTATCAATAAGTATTCATAATAGAAGTGGATAATAATAAGAATATATGACAATATTAGTGGGATGCTAGAATTCTACTGTTCATTTCTATTTGATTATAAAACGTTCAGAGAAAGGATAATTGAATTTTCTTGTTACAGAATTTAACCTTATTCGAAAATAATTTTCCAGCAAATTTTAAATTCATGACTGTATGATGATAAGAGCAGATATAGATTTTTCTTTGTATATTTCTATACTTCTCTTGGATCATATTTTACCAGAAAAGAAGAGTTAAATAAACAATATTAATTATATATATATATATTTTTTTTTTTTTGTATAGCATTGATTATGAGTGGTCCACAATGGCGCTTAAAAACAGTTCTTGAACGTCTTTATCAAGATGGTTTACGTCGTATTGATTTTTCATTTTTAATTAATGAATTTCTTTTACCATTTACACTAAATATTGGAATGTTTATGGCATTTCCATATTTAGCTGTATCACATATAGCACCAACATTATTTAATTCATCAATTGTACATCAAATTGAACGTTATATATATTCAGCTATAATATCATTAATGCTTTTATTAGCATTTATTATATTTCAAATCAAACAACTTCGTCTACTATTTGAACATGTTCGTGATGAAAAGTATTTGGTTGGTCGTCGTTTAATTAATTTTGAAAGATGATGTTTATTAACCATCAATAAATTATCATTCAAGAAGAAAAAAATCTCCTTTTGTTTTTCTATTTTGACTTAAAAAACCTAAATAGATATTGTCGTTCATTGGTGTTTATATATGTGCATATAATAGATCATGCCATCACGCTCTGCTTCATTTGTCAGCACTATCTTGTGTATAGATGTCTTGTAATCCTTTGTATCTGCCGTTTTTCTTTTTTTTTTTGTTTAACTTATATGTATATGTATAAATATAAATATATATATATATATATATTGAAACTAAAAATTATTTTCATGCACATGCAATACAACAAAAATTAAAATAGACACTAATACAGATTAGATATCACGAACTGTTGGGTACGTTATAAATATTCTGTAAACAGAATAAAAAGCAAGTAGAAAAAAAATAGTAGGAAAATTAATACAGCACTGAAAGCAAGGGATTCTTTAATGAGATTCAAAATAAATAAGAAAAATATGTGAAATTATATTTATTTGTTTAAGATCACCATGATAGAGAAAAGTTCATATATGTTCAATGAATATACAATTTGGAATGATTATTCTTCATTTAATCTCATCCGAGATTATCTGACGTGACAATCGTTGTATTCGTTTTCACCGTCGTTTCATTTTCTGTATGTTTTTTTTGTTTATAAAAACATTGAAGTATATATAAAATAATTGTAACACCACCGGATAGACCCATAAATACTCCAGCTAAAATCAATGATGCTTTATATCCATAATGTTCAGCAATCCAACCTAAGAAAAAACAAATTAAATCATATTTTGTATTCTGAATTTAACATTTCATTCATTATGTCTTTTTTACCTCCCAAAACGGGCCCAAATAAAGATGATAAACCTTGTCCAAGTAAAATAAGTCCATAAGCTGATGTTAATAATTCTAAACCCCACATATTTGCCAGTATAATAGATGTTAATGCATAATTTGCTGATACTGAAAGTCCAAAGAGAAGAATTGTCATTATTAATGCAATATATGAATAAGCAACAAATGGTATAAGACAACTTGCAACACTACAAAGTATTGCACCAACATTATAAAGAATTAATTCATCAATAAATGAATAATTTGCCAAAAAACCAAAAAAGAGTTGTCCAAAAAATTGACCTACACCAAGAATCGTAACTAACATAGTCATTTGTCTTTTTGAATAACCAATAACTGTTTCTCCATAATCGACTAGAAAAAGAAAAGTATTAGAAATATAGATATAAAAAAAAAAACCTTATTTATTTTGTTTTTACCTGGGAATAAATAAATTAAATCATAACATAAATAAAATAGAAATTGTGATATAAATATTAATACATAACGATAATCACGAAATAATTGTAAACCTAACATACGACGTAATGTATGAAGAAATGTTAAACCTCTACGATAAAATAGTAATCGACGATGTCGATGATGATGTAGTGAACCATTTTCATCGTCAGATTCTGATGATGAACTTGAAATTGATGTTGCCGATTCTTCATAAAAATATGGTTGTATTAAATCAGGACAACTTGTTGCTGATAATGCTTGTGATTTATTGGATAGTTTTTTTGGTACATTACCAGGATAAAAAATATCTTTTTGATTAATTGGTTGATAATAAACTTGTAATAAATGTTGTTGTTGTTTATCTAGTGCAAGACAACGAAAACGAATTGAAGGATGTCGAGATAAAACAGTCTCTTTATTTGACATTGGTAACAAATCAATACATTCTATATTGCAAAAAAAAATCATATCATATAAACTGCATCAAAACTTGACATACTTACCTGGTTTTGTCGTTGTTTCTTTTTTATTAGTAATTTCTTCCAATGGTGTTTGAGATAAAACCTCATTTTGTTTTTGTTCATTTATGACAGGTACTTGTTGATTTTGCCCATTATGATGACTACGATGAGATAATGGATTTATTTTATCAATTAATACATTTGTATTTTGATTTGGAATCATTAATGTATTATTTCGTTCTTTTACTTTATTTGATATTAAATAACGAAAATTAGGCATACGAAATAATTTTGAATTAGTTCCTGTTTCACCTTGTTTTTTCGCTATTTTTTTCCATCGTTCATTAATAAATGTCATATCATTAAAAATTTTTTCTCGAAATGTAACAATATCGATTTTTAAACCATTTTCATGTTGAATTTCTGTTATATCATCTGCTGAATACGAATCAAATAAATCAGATTCATTTGCAATCGATATTGAATCATTATCATTATTTACTGTTGATAATCGTTCATTATTTGATAATGATATACTAACATTTTGATTTGTTTGACGTGATGCACGTTGTTTCTCCATTTCATTTACAAAACGTTGTAATTTTTCAATTGATGTCATACATGATGGTGGTAAACGTTTATCATTCATTGTATGATGATAATTTTTATTTTTACGATGAAATTCAAATTGAGCAGGACGAAAAAGTGTTCCAAATAAAACGATTGTGAATAGAACACCGGATAAAAATAATGTTGTTTCTCTCCAATCATCATAATAGTCATTTAATACGTGAATTAATTGGGCAACAACAGCATTTCCAATACCTTCAAAATTGATAAATTATTTTTTTTTTCAAAAATTACATTCATATTACAAACCAGTTCCACCAACAGCAACAGCTGTTGCAATAGCACGATTTTCATCAAAATAATGTGCTACAATAACAACTGCTGGAACATATACAAACGATAAACCAATACCTATATCAATATACAAAGTAAAAAAACACAAAATTAATTATCGATTAAATATTTTCGTACCACAAGTTATTCCAATACCCATAAGTGCGCCAATGAAATTACCAAAGTATGCCGCTAAAAATAAACCAACAGAACAAAGAAAACCACCTAACATTGTCATAATACGACATCCAATTTTATTCACCATTGCACTACATAATGGTGCTAATAAAAGGGGTAAACTAGCAAATAATGATGCAATAATACCGACAGTATGTAATTCAAGATTAAGATCATCTTTAATTATATGCATAAGCATACCAAACGAAAAGAGAAGTCCATCGGCAACAAAATGAATACAAAATGAACCAAACACAATTACCCATCGCCATGATGTTGTTCGACGAATGACAGTTCGAGATGATGAACTATCAGTTGTATTTGATTCATAGCGTTGTCGACGTTTTTGTTTACGCGTACATGCTGAAACTAATTGGAAGGATGATGATGAGACTTTAGATAATGGTGGTGGTGGTGATGTTTGTAATGAATCACTAGATAACATATTGTTAATTGTAATCGTTTTAATATTGAGTTAATCATGCAGCAATTTTCTTTTTGAAAGAAAATTCGTTTTACTTTTTTGAACAATGAAGTATAATCAATGAAATGATGGTTCGACGAAGTTTTATTGACAATTAGAAAATGATGAATCGAAGTTGCCATACACCACAACGGTGCTATATATAGATCTATTTGTCTAAAATTATTAGTATATATTACCATCATAACAAAGTAAAAACCCTTCTCTAACTCATACAAATACGAACAAAAGTAACGACGCATAAAGTCGTCAATAAGAATGTCTGTTACGTATAATAATCGATGTTCGTATTGCTAAACAATCATAGTAACATCACATGACAAGATCACAGAAAAAAAACATAAGCGGAGGAAAGCAAAATTTGTCGCTTTAGCAAAAAGTACAAGCAAAGAAGAAGCAAACGAACATGTTGATGTTAGTATTTTCCTTCTCTATGTCAAGCAATCGCATAGTAAAAAGAAACACAATTATATAGGTTTTCTTTCTCATCTGTTTTTTCGATTCGCTATCAATGAAAATAAAAAGTAAACGAATAAGATAACAAAATAGTATTCATCAAATTCATTCAAATAGATAAAAACAATATAGTTTTTGTTTTCAACATATCGAATAATTTATTTGATTTGCAAATTGTATAAAACAAAACGAAACAATAAAATAATAAAAAATTAAATGAACAAAGTTTTCTTTATGATAAAAAATTAAAATAACGAACATTCAATGCCATCAAAGCAAAAGATATCAGTAAACAACACAGGAGTATAATTATTATTCGATTGTAAGTACACCAGGGTTCATTTTTATAAGCTTGATAAATCGAATATATTCTATTACAAGTGAATTGATTAAACAAGTATAGGATGACCCTTGATTCGATCAATATCTATTTCACAATATTAGTGTTATTCTTACCTACCAGAGATTCACGAGTCAGACTCGAGCTGCCTCGCGCTCTAGCGCACGCTAATGGAACATTGAGCAAGCTTATGCGAAACGCACGCTATATCATCCCATAGTTTAGAACGCTCTGAGAGAACACTGAAAAAAAAAACGAATTAGACATGGCCAAATATGTTCACAGAGCAAAACTCGAAAGAGGCATTCAACGCGCGTAAACATGAGCTATGACGCAAGGGTGACTCGCGGATCTCTGTTACCTACTATTGTCGACGATTGATTATTTATATGAAAGTCATCACACGTTGAACTAGCAAACGTATTGTCGGCGCTAATTTCTATTATATATATATATGTTATAGGCAATATTAAAGTTTAGATAAATTCTAAATTTGTTCACTTGATATTAGAATACTAATATTGAGTAGACACTCATCAGTTAGAACTGGAATTTCAGTTATGTCTAAGCAAAATTAGAATTCGACTAGAAATAAACTTATGCACTCATATGCTTTACTAAAACTAGAATGGAATGAAAAAAAAGAGAGAGAAATCTGTAGCTGTAGCGGTCGTATCGATAGATCATCTAAATACAGATGTAGGCATCACAATTTAATAAAAAAAACCTATCTGAGTTAGATTCAATAACCAATCACACTCGTGATTGTAAATCGAAGTGTACCATAAAAAAATGTTTATGTAAAAAATAAGACTTCATTTTGTTCGACAAAATGTCATGCAAAACAAAGTGATTAAAACAAATATGGGTGAATAGATTAAAATGTTTCTCGTGTTAAATGTTTAGTGAAATGAACAGATGTTGTTAAGCGAAATCATGTATTTATTATATTCAGATTTTAATTGTTTTGATTGTATGAATTTACCTTTAGTAGAATTCTAATTTTGTCTAAAACATATACAGTAGAATGTCAAAATTATTGAACCAGAAGCTTATTTTATTTTATGTTGTGTATATATCTAAAACTACTATAGATGAACTAGAATAATCAGTTTTCGTCAGATTACATACCACAGTCTCTAGTATATTAGTAAATTCATTGATCTCTTTACTTTTCTAATGACGATATAATCGCAGCATGCCATTATTCATCCTTTCAAAATTATCGAACCATTTATGTTTGCAAACTGCTGCATGGGAGGCTCAAGGTTGAAATTTCCTTTATAATACATATTTCAATAGAGCAAATTATGCTCTACGTAAGAAGTACTTTTTATCATGACTTTCCTTTGAATCAGTGTTTAAAAACAATATTTTTCTGAGCTATACTGGAAATTTTCAGTAAAACTGGAACGAAAAAAAATCCATCGTTTTCATATCATGTTTAGTTAGTTTTATTGTTCAATATATCAATAGGAAAAGTACTACTAATTTCATGAATTATTTTATTTGAATAGATATTTCATGTTGCAAATTTGTGTTGATCTTCTAATAT